CACACACACACACACACACACACACACACATACACACACACAAATACTAATAAATTTTTAGTGTGGCCACAATATAATGATATAGCTGCTACTTTCGGTGTTAACGTCTAAGCTTCTGGAAGGACGGTTTTTAGACATAAATTAAGCTGCTGTGTTTAGTGCCTGCTGGAGGCAGATGAATTTGCCCTCCCTTTAATTTGGCTTCTCCTCCCCTCAAAGAAAGTGGCTCCTAGCAAGTTAGTGAGAAATGGTTCAGGAACTTTTCTCAAGGAACGTATATATGTATAAGAGAAACTGATGAACACTCTTATTGAAAAGTATAAAGGAGCTACTTTACTTTCCTCTGCTAAATGAATAAAAGTGACTTAGAGAAACTACATATGTCATCATTGATATAGCAAACAAGCCATGTGGTGGTACCACTTTAGGTATCATTCAGCTTAGTTTGAGGAGGAGGGGATCGTTCATCTTTTTAACAAAGGGAAGATTGGTTTTAACTTTCTTTGGGGAAAAAACAATCCATGGAATCATAAAATAGTACAACAGGCCAATGTTGGGATTAGCACTCGAAGTTCTAGATGTTAGTCCCCAACAAAAAAACAGCATTGAGCTCCCTCTGCTGTCCCTGTGGTATGATTTTTTTTTTTTCCCCCACTCAGAGTTTTGCTAACCAGCATGATGATCACAGTTTTCATATAAGGAACTCAGAGCATCTTAACAAAGCTACCCCAAAAGCTTCAGAGAGAATTCTTCCCATGGTATCTAAGGAATGGTCTATGACAATAGCCAAAGGGAGCCTGGCTGCTGTGGGCTTTCTTCTCACTTCAGCCGTTCCTGTTTTGTTTACTTCTCCATGGACTAGCATCTGCTTCTTTGTGTGCTAACCTTTGGCCTTTTAAAGATGACCTCTAGGGAGTGGGAGATGGTCTTGATCTGTTTTGCTTTTCCTCTGGTGTTCCAAAGTTAGTAGCTTTTCAATGCTTCAAGCTTCGGCAGAGTGGCCTTTTTCTCTTTGAACACTGCAGAAGACTCGGCTCTTTTTTTTTTTTTTTAACTCTTTGAATTATGCCCTAGTTAGCAGCCTACCTTACCTCCAAAACAATCCCATGGACAAAAAAAAAAAAAAAAAAATCGCACGGGTCTCTTGCCACTTGCAGTACCTACATTAACCACACTTGTAGTATATGGCTTACTAACCTATATTTTGTTTCTCTATTTTTTTTCTCCTGAAGAAGGTACTGTGTTCAATTGAATGTGCCACGGGGACAGTAAATTACATGCTTCCTTCGGAACATTTATGCCAGAGAAGATATTTGTTTGTTCCTCTCAAATAGGAATGGGTGTATGGTTGTATAAGCAAGCACACATGACCCCGTTGCTATCCTTTCTAGCACATTACCTATTTATTTTCTCCAGAAATTGCATACAATAAAAATGGTAATTTAACTTGCCATTAAATGTTGTGAATATTCTCAGCACTTGCCCCCACTGATTGTTTCAGCTGTCAAACAGCAGGACATTAGGTCTGATTGCCAGGCAGACCCATTTGCCATTGCCTGCAAGGAGGACATATGCAGTCCTAATTTTTAAATAATTTACTGGGTTGTGATGACAAACCCACGTGTAATTAAAGAAAAATTGTAACTTCACATCCCATTTGAAAATTGGAATGCTACTTGACAGGGCTAACTTGAGGATCCGTTCATCATTACGCATGGGTCTTGTGTCACGCCTCTGCTCCTAGAGGTAGCGATGGGAACTGAAAGGAGGTTACCTCTGCTCTGGAATCTGTGTTGCCCTTCCTTTAAAGCAGCGGTTCTCAACCTGTGGGTCGCGACCCCTGTGGGGGTTGAACGACCCTTTCACAGGGGTCGCCTAAGACCATCAGAAAACATAACAGTAGCAAAATTACAGTTATAGAGTAGCAACGAAAATAATTTTATGGTTGGGGGTCACCACAACATGAGGAACTGTATTAAGGGGCCGCGGCATTAGGAAGGTTGAGACCCGCTGCTTTCAAGTGAAAGTTTTCAGGCACCATGCTAGATGTGGCCTCAGTTTCATAGGCGGTTGAGGAAACCACCTTGAAAAATAGACGTTTTAAAGTCAGTGCATTTGAAAGATGTTTTGTGTGTGTGCAATTCTGGCTCTGGAGCATCTGGTGAAATTCGCTTTTTCCTGGTGGATACAGGAAACTTGTATTTTTTACAAGTTTAGATACAGAAACTGTAGTTTTAAATCACTAAAACAAACTTGTCTCTGATGAGCAAGTGCCGTGGGACCTGTGGAGTCCATGTGGAGACACGCTCCGCAGTGACTGACCAGGGAGAGTTCCCTCAAGCTGCGGGCTTGCAGGTGCGCACGGCGGGGAGGAGGGTGATGATGTTTGGGCCCTGGAGAGGTCGCCAAGGAGAGCGTTTTGCCAAGGAACACGTAGGTGAGGTGGACAGGGGCAGCACAGGGTGCCGTGGCGTCTGGGGTTGGAGCAGGGCAGGTTATGAGTAGGGGTTAAGGGCAGAAGTGATTGCATGCTTCCAGAATGAGAAGAGGTGTTTTTTCAAACCTCAGAAGCCAAAAGAAAGCGCAATTCAGATGTAAAAGTGCATTCCTTTTTGTGAAACCCAGAATCCATTTAAATACCACAAGTGTCTCCTAAGCAAGTATCTTGATATGTTAGTAACCATCAGATGAATGCATGTATCACTAGCCAAGAAGTTGGTTTTTACCCCTTAATTAATGAGATGATTAACCATGGGTGAGCTCCCGTCCTGCCTGAATTGGTGTGAAACCACACAGCAAGGCATAAAAATAGGGCACATTGGTTTATTTGCTGATCTGTTGAAGATGAGCTGGAAATAATGAGACTCCTGCTTATGGCCGGTTGAAAGTTTTTCAATACCTGATAATGTTTTTAAAAAAATTATATTCCAAACAGGTTTTTGGAGACTTCACAGTTGTAATTCTGTGATCGTAAAATATCTCCAGTCGGTCCTCTTTAATTGTGAGACCCTGCATGTGATTCATTTACTGCGTGGGTGAGAAGTTTGATGCAGACATCTTAGCGGGAAATGATAATGTAACCTGTCTTTCTCCTTTCTCCTCTGCAGGCCTGTGATGGTAACTTGGGTGAGAGTCGATGATGAAATGCCTCAACACGCCGTACTGTCTGGGCCCAACCTGTTCATCAATAACCTGAACAAAACAGATAATGGTACATACCGCTGTGAAGCTTCAAACATAGTGGGGAAAGCTCATTCGGATTATATGCTGTATGTATACGGTACGTGAGAAGATAAAACACTCTTCTGTTAGACTCATTTACATGTAATTGCTGCTTATAATTCACTCCCAACGCTTTTGGTCAAGTTGAAAACCAAAATCCCGTTTGTTTTCTTCAAGAACTGAAAGAAGCCTGGCCTGAGGTGGGCCCCAGTGTCTCCACTAGGAGGAGGGCAGTGGCTTTTCCTCTGTCCCTCTAATCATAGGGGTTTCCCATTAGATCACAGTCTCTGGTCACGCTGAGCAGGGACGCTGTGTCCTCAGGCACAAGCTATGGAGATTATGTCAGAAATAATGACTGCAAAATTCAGCCTTACCAATTAATGGCTTTTCAGCTCAGAAAGTTTATTCCCAGTGGTATTTTCCTGTGATACCTGGACGAGCCTGCTTTCTCCTGCTTTGATGAGCAGAACTATCCTATTTTCAGCATGAAGCAATTACATTACAGAAGATGTTGCAAGCCAGTAAATACTTCGACAAAAATATAAGGTCCTTGGTAATTACATTAGTGATCTATAGCTACTGCTTTAGACACAAATGTTTTTTTTTTCTTATTTGTCTGTTTTCTTAATATCTTTTTACAGAATTGTTAAAGCATATTATTATGAATTTCATTCTCTAGGCAACAGATATTTACTAAGCATCTACTGTGTGTCAGGCATTTTAATCTTATTTCCCATTTATATTTTATTGTCAATTTTGTGCGTGGTGAATACTCTCTATTTAGTTGAGGAGTGTACTGCCTCTCTAGTCTTATGATGACAAATTGAGTCTCTTCTGTTCAGCTGAAGTCCCTTGGTCAGTTTTGTACCAGGGAAAATAGTCATGAACTGACATGACACAGAATGAGTAACCATAGGCATGAAAATTTCAGCATCTTCTAAATATATGAATATGTGAGTGCATTTCCTTCTTCATGTTAGCAGTGCAAATACTCCCAGTATAAGTGCATGTGATACACATATATACACACATAAACATACACATGGGATATTTACACCATAACGTCCTAGGACCTGGCCACTCTCCTTAGGAAGAAAATGGGAATAGAAGCATTTTGATGAAACAGAAGCATACTTTACACCATATCTATCTGGATATTAAAATATAATCCATAGCCTGTATGTGGATTTTTTTTTCCTTAGCATGTTGCAAAATTAAAGGATCACATCTAATCACCTTATTTGTAGACTTCTGAGGTATGTTTTCTTTTCACACTACCCATGCTGTCTGTGATTTACACATCATGGCATTAATTGTCCCCAGTAGGTAAGGAGATGAGAGTAAAGAGAATGGCTTTTCCGTGTAGGTGCTGCGAATGCCGCACGCCCCATGTTTTGTTGACAATCCACAGAGCTTCCTCTGTTTGTCAGACTGTTTCCAATCTGCTGATAGAGGGGAGTGGAAGGTAAATCCCTCCTTTCTGCTTTCTGTGCATCAGGTTGAACCTCACATGAGTCCCTACATTGCTATTACCCAGGTTTACAGACATTCATCCAGCTCGTTTCAGAAACTGCAGATTTTAAAAAGCAGTGACAAATTTCCACCAGTCCATTATATGCTTTCTTGATTCAGAAGACTATAAAGTATCTAGAAAAACAATGTTGATTTATTGTACCTACTGTTCCTACATCTCGAGACGAGAAACATTTTGTGGATTTGACGGGCAGCTATCTTGGAATAATTTTGGATACTAGCTTATGGTTAGTGTTTATTGAGTACTCACTTCGATCCACGCCCTAAGATGACTGTTGTACATGCATGATCACCTCTGATCTCCACAATAACATCATGAGGTAAGTATTGTCATCATCCCATTGTACAGATGATAAAATGAAGCTTAGAAAGGTCACATAATTTACCCAAGTTCACAAGATTATTGAATCAGAGCCATGATACTTTTGACTCAAGTCCACGGTGAAGTTTATGTCTTTCTTTGTAGTTCTTTTTGCTTTCATTGCTTTCCAAGAGAAAAATGCCCTCCAGTACAAGACTGCTTTTTTGGAATTAACTCACTGGGCCAGAGTGCATTATTTGAAAGCCAAGAAACATAGAGACCCACCTGTTCCAACTCCCTCCACACCTATTCACACATCTCCCCAACCCGAAATGGTGCTCTTATCCTTGACTAGAGATTTGCTGGATCTACAGTATGTTACTTCCCTCCCATGATATGTACTCCTAGCAATGCTTAGCATGGCAGGTTAGAACACTAACCCGAGGTGTTGCTAGCCTATTAATAAAATTTTCTAGCAATTTGAGTAGATGGTGAATAAATTTTCTTTTCAGAGCTGATTTACTGCACTGCTACAGAAACTTTCAAAGTACTTTATGAACTAGGAGTTAGCATGCCTTCATAATGTTTAATTTTCTAGAAGTAACTTCTATACTCGGAGAATCTAGCTGGTTAGTGCCTGAGCCCCAGTTCGTTTTATTCTTTTAGCTTCTACGTGTCAAACCCAGCTCCTTAGCTCCAACACTGTATTCTTTTAATTAGTGGCGTCATATTGCTCTTATTGCTAGAAATGATCTAAGCATTGAGGTTTTACCTGTTAATGGAATCTAACTCATGTAGATCACTTGAGCCAGACGTGAAGGACAACAGTTACTCCAGTAGCGATGAAAATAATTGGAAATGTATGATGTTTCACAAAAACAAAGGAACTGGCGGCTTGTTTTCGGAAGTCTGTGCCTTACTAGGGTGGTCCAGTCTTTGTTCATAATCATATTTTCAAATCACCTTAGGGTCCTCGCTGGTTATATTGTGGACATCACGTTTTGTGCCAGTACTTTTACAGACAGGCACAGAAGTAATGTCCTAGTGTGTCAGGGGAAGTCTCCCAGGTACAGACCTTCCTTTTCAGTGATAAATATTGTAATTGAACCAAAACAGAAGAACCACAGTAGCTGTCCTCACGCTGGGCAGCGGCAACTCTCTGGGTACAGTTGAGTTAGGTACTGTAGGGAGCAGAAAGTCTTCAGTGCTTGGCTCAGGGGCCAGCGTGCCTCGCTCACCTATACCTGCACCTGTACCTGCAGCAGGGTGCAGGTGCAGCCCAAGAATCTGCAGGTCACAAAATGCTTTCCCACCATGGCCTCCCTAAGACAGTGCCCAAGGAGCAAGACTGAACATAACAACGTGTTCTTCTTAAAAGGTAGTTTAAAATTACCAATTTGATGATTCCTACTTCTTGGAGGAGAATGAGGTATTTGTTTGTTTGTCTGTCTGTCTGTTTGTGAACAATTTGCTGTTGATTCTCCACCATCAAATTTGTGCTTTTCTGTATGTGTGAGAGAAGAAGTCTGTGAGGAACATTAAAACCTCGGATTATTGATCAGTAGTAGGAGTCATTTTAAGCCGACCTTACAAGCAAGAACCAAGATAATGTTTTCATAAACTTTCAGAAGTGGTACCAAACTCAGTAAAGGTGCAGTATATAATTAAAGTTTTGATATATTAATTAGACAATCTGAGAGCTCACTTGGAGATAAAAGGACACCAGATGTGTCAGGGAGAAAAAATTGACGTCCTTTAGATAAAATTTAAAATCAAAAGCCTTCAAATCGTCTTATGCTCTATTATAGCAGAATGATCGCTTAGTTCAAAGTCTTGCTGACAATTTAACACATTCAGTTTGATCATTTGGGCTTAGAATCTTTTTTTTTTTTCTCTTTCATATTTGCCCTTCCCTTTTCCCCCCAAATAATTTTTGAGATGATAGAAGAATATACTGTTATCAAGCATCTGACAAAGGATTCCCTTTGGAAATTCCTGGCTTTGAGGGTCAAGCCTCATGTATATTTAGTTTTCTTGTTTACAAGATGGAAAACATTCTTTCAGTTTTATCATTGTTGTCCACTTAGGTCAAGCTTTTAACATGCAAAGGCAACTAAGTTATTAATATTGATAAGTTGTAAAATTTTATCAACTTTGAAAAAATAAAATCTCAGTATAGTTCTCTGCCTGGAACTTGATATTTAATGATGACATTCTCTCTTCTTTGTTTAGAAGTATACAGGGTGTAGAAGTAGTTTTACTTCCCGCTGGGATGTACTGATGAAGATTAATGAAGTTAACAGTCAAAGAAAGCAAGGAGCAGGAGCACACTCATCCTTGGCAGATAGGAGCCCTTTAGAAAGAGTGGAGCCATCTCTTCCTTCCTCCCATCAGTAAAAGAATAAAATGAAATGGCAACCATCATGCCCTCTTGGGTGCTGAGTTGGTTCAACCTCACCTTTGAAACTGGCTTGGAGTGAAGGGTGTCGTGTGTTCTTATTTCCTCCCCTTCTCTACTTCCCATCTCATCCCTCGTTCACTTCATTAACACAAAATTCTTTTCTTCTTTCTAAGCTTAGCTCTTCCAACTAAGGCTTTGGGATATAATTAGAATACATAAATCTTTGGGAGAAAACTTTTGGTTTTAAAGAGGGAAATCATCAAACAAACATCTCAATGTCCTCATGCTTTTGTTTTGTCATTACTGATCATTGTTGTGTTCAGCATTGTGGGTTTGATTTTCCTTTTTTTTTTTTTATCCAGATCCCCCCACAACTATCCCTCCTCCCACAACAACCACCACCACCACCACCACCACCACCACCATCCTTACCATCATCACAGGTATGGTACCTTCATTACCATTGAAAATGTCCTGAATGTATATTGTCTTTCTGGTATGTATAAAAAAGAAACCTAATAGTTCCCTTTAAATCCTTGGGATTTAATTGTTCCTTTATTTTGGAACTTCAAAAACACTAGATACTGTGTTCTTAGGTTGAATCTTAAGGACCTCAGAAAGTCTTTAACATCCAAGCATTTAACAGTAGATCCAATATTTTGCAGATTACCTATAAGAGAATTCTTTTATAAGCATCACAATTCAAAGCAAAACGCTAGGGAAAATGGCAGCCTGACTCTTAGAGGACATGCTGATAGCTTATGCTTAGCCATGGTTGACGAAATGGTAAGTATTCTGCCTCTGGATCTTCTCCTTGTCTTAATTTCATCTTCATCCATGTGAAGGAAAGTACACACCCTTTACCACGCCCATGTGGGCCATGTTCCTAAATACTTTGTCATCCTTCCTGCCCCAGCGAGTACCTGCTGATGGTGGTACTGCCTGTTTGTGTTGCCTGGGTCACAAGAGATCAGAGGGCATCACTGTCTTTTCTGTGCTGGGCACCCATGTATCCCTCGCTGCCCTCAGTTAAATGTTGGAGGGGTGGAGACGCAGCCTCAGCGGTTGTAACTCTGTGGCTTTATCTCTTTGGACTGTCAGAAACTCTTATTCAAAATGAAATTCACTGTCTCTTATTCTGACTGTCACTGAGAGAGGAGGTATATCATCCATCCCCTTCCTGGGCTCCAGTGGCTCTCGTATTCCTTGTCTGGGAGCTTTGGAGTGTCCTCTGCCTACCAAGGTAGGAAGGGTTATGGCCGCACTATGTTAGCTTAGACATGCAGGATTTCCTTAGGTAAGGCGTTCCCCACCTACTGTTTATCGGCACCTACCACAGAAACGGAAAGTAATTGTTCTATGACAAAAAGAAAACAACTCTTTAAAAAAGAACTTTTCTGCTTCATTCTGTTATTTGATGAGACTGCAAGATCTCTCTGAGCCATGTGCTCTGGGGTCCAGTTCTATCACTGGACTTCCTTAAAAACACTGAATATTTTACTTATCATTCTTCATGTGTAAATCCTTTTTACCACCCTAGATATGGCAACCATCATTTACGCTGACTTTCTGAACATTTTCAATTTTCACAGGAGTCAGTGGGATAGATAGGATGACAATTCAAAGTATTCAGTAAAAGAGGAGGCCTCATCAGTTTATGAAATATAACAATAGATTATCTAATCTGTCTAATCTCCATTTTCTTCACCTTTCCAGCCATTCAGTGGAACAAGGAGAACTTTAAATAAGCCACCAGTGAGGATTTCTCTGAACGTTGTTTATAAAAACATCAGTGCCTTAATGTAAAATCTTCTGAAAATCCATCAATTGGTTTTTGTGTCTTACTCTAAACTCAGCTCCATGGAGGCTGCTTCCTAAATTCTTATCTGTGCATATTTCTGCTTTACCTTTTGTTCGTTCCTCTGCTTCTTAATTAAACTCACTTTGTCAGTGTAGTGAATAGATTCCTCCGACTTTCTGGAAGATGCCCCTTCCTAACTCTGATGGGCAGGGCTACCAGGCTATCAACCTTCCGTCCTACAAACGAGATTATTTACCCTTTATGACTTCTTACCCCGTATCCAGGTTGTACACCAAATTAGGCTTGAGCTCTCGTTGCCAGGTTTTCTTGCGCTTCCTGTGAGCTGCCCTGGGATGTCAGGGTACATTACATCACCCCATTCTGCACTGCCCTGCCTGTGTGAACCCTTTAAGAACACCCTGCTTGGTCTTTGTAGAAGTTGCCCGGATATGAGCCAGCCTTTATCACCTCTCATTGCGGAAGGTTCCCCATAGAGCTTGCCGACTTTACAAGTTAAGGCAGTCGAGTCCTCACTCACTCTTTATGGACACCACATTTCTCTTTAATATGCAAAACCACTTTTCATTTATGGCTGGCCTCTCACTATCTTAGCCTTTTTTTTTTTTCTTTCTTTAAAAGACCTTTCTTAACACTCCCGAACTCGGGCCCCCCCTCGCCATCAATCTCAGCAGCTGGGTGGAGGTGCTTCAGTTCCCAGCTTGTAATCCTTCACTCCAGACCACAGCTAATCTTACGTCCTTGGACAGCTCTCTGCTGTCACAGTTCCTAGTGCAGAGTCTGCTTACGAGGAAACTCTGAAAACAAACAATGCTATATTTCTGTCCACATCAAAGGTTCCTTTAATAGGGCCTCATCCTGGCTTCTCTCTCTCTGCTCCTGGCCTCTCAGTTCAAGGTAATGTAAGATGATCTCATAGATGCACTTTAGCTTCCCAATGTTAGCAGTTGAACCCTCTCTACACACAAAATGCATTTGTGGTAATGAATTCCCAGATTCTCACTGGCACACCCAAGAGTAGTTAAACTAAAATTGCCACTAAAACAACATTGTAGAATCCGTTGCCTTAATGGATGTGATCTTATAGGCTTACTGTGTCTTAACAAGCGGTCTTATATATATTTATCTTGCCCAGAAAGTACACTTGTGGAATTTAACATTTGCTCCTTTCTTCAAACAGATTAAAGGTTATGGAGCTGAATAAGTCTGTGTCCCATTTTAAAGGTCCAGGCTATCCCCTAGATTTAGATTGGTTCCTAAAAAATCTTCCAGACTGAATCTTGAAAAATGGATAGCTAAATTAATTTCCACTCCTCTCTCTTGCACTGTTTGGTATATTGCAGCCACTATTAGCCTTAAAAGCTTCAACAGCTAAATCCAATGACAGTAACATAAAGCCTAAGCTTAAAAAAAAGAAGCAGCAGCAGCAGCAGTCCATAGTCATCTATTTCTTTTCTCCCAGTCAAATGCAATAACTGAAACCCATTCCCCAGGTCAGAGTTTCATTACAAGAAAATGTACAAATGCAATAGAAAAATATTTTTAAACTCAAAAGGTCATAGTTGATTTCTGATCTCTTTGAGAGGAGGTGTTCCATTGTTATCTTTTATCTTCTGTAACCAGGATAATCAAATTGTTCCCCTTGTTAGGAAGGCAGACTGTCATTGAGTTCCCAGTCACCCAGCTGCCTCAAAGCAGGTTACAACTTCATCCCGGAGACCTTTGAAAGAGAGGAAGTGTAAGTCCAGTCTGACTGGGGGTTGCCCACCCAGAATCACAGACTCGATGGATGAGAGGAGAAAGGCATCTCTGCCTCGTTTCCATCCCGCGTGGAGCAGGTCTCCCGTATGTGGAGGGTAGCTTCTTCCATAGCTTCACCTATAGAAGAACATTTGCAGGCTCTAGAGCTGAAAGGAATATTTGGTGTCAATTTGCCACATCAATATTGTTGTGTCATTACAACCATATAGGCCATTAATGTCATTAGAATCTCTTTCCAAATTAAAATAAATAAATAAATAAAAACACAGGAGGGATAGAATTGGGATGAGAGCCACGCAGAGCCTCAGTGTGATTTGCCATAAAAGTCTTTGGTGTCTCTGTTCTCTTTCATGTACATTGATGTTTCTGACCATATAGTTAGTTCTGTGTCAACTATTGCTATTAGCAGGCCCTCTTTATTTTATTTTATTTTTTTAAATCTTGTCAAGTTGTCCACGCAGTTTCATTCATGAAAATATATGCTGTAACATGGAAGAGCAAACTGCATAATTTAAATTGTCCCTGGCGTCTCCCATTAAAATACAGGGATAGCCAGCCACTACCCGGGTGAGACCCTTCATGCATACTCCTCTCAGAAACCAGAATCCAAGAAAAACCTAGTACCATAGTGGGGTGAGGATGTTTATTTTGCATAATTTTGAACTTTCTTTGAAGTTTGTTGACTCTGTGTATTAGGTATACATAGAATTACCTGTTTCTGTGTTTGGTGCTAGCTTTCTCCCCTGTCTGCCAGTTTGATCAAGCTTTTCCTTCAATCATCTTAGGAAAAGATTTTGTTTCCCTCCCTAGTTAATGTGGATATTGTATTGTTTCTGTCTGGTTGCTTCCTGAGTTAGATGCTTGCTGAGGAATACCCAGGAAGCACTTTGCACCTGCTCTAAACACCCTGAGCAGCTTAAATATAAAATTCAGGCCAGGAGGAGTTCAACCTGTAGGTCACGCTATACATCTGACTGTCATAAATTAAAAAATTAAAATCACCTTAGAATAAGAAATGAATAGCTATAGGGCCAAATTGAGAAACACATTTATCCTTTCATAAGAATGAAGTAGGTCATTTCTAAATGAGTTTTTCTCTTTTTTTAAAGTATATATTCAATTAAATATTTTGTGTTTCATGGAAAAGAAAATGGCAAGGTTTTTCTTATTGTCCTCTAAGGACTCAAAACCCCAATATACCTTGGAGAAAGCGAGTCCCCCCGCTCAGGCTCACATTATTATTTTGGCTTTCATAGTCTAATATCATAAGCTTTTGTGTGTGTGTAATGTGGGTCAGATCACATAAATAAAGAAGGTGAGTACAGCCCTTACCTTCAGTAATATTTGTAGAATATGTCAAATTGGGGAAACGCAACACCACAGCACATATTTTCAGTTTCTTAAATACAAAGAAAATAAGTGCCCCTGAGTTTAAGCCTGCCTCTCTAACGTGACCATCTAATCCCAGTAGAAAGCTTTCCTCCACACACAGCCACCGGCTCTCCAGGGTCTTGGCTACTGAGTCCTGTTGTGTGTGTGCTGTTGATACTTGCGTGGTGCAAGGGATAGCATTCAACAAATTTTAAGCACTCATAATGTGTATAACACTATGCTGGTACCTGTGGAGCCAGAAAATCCCTTTAACCCCTTAAAATATGGTCAAGGGAAGAACACACACACACACACACACACACACACACACACACATTGGAACTCGGTAGCAGGAGATACTGTGCAGTTAGAGCTCATTCTGTGGCACAGGCAGAAGACTGAGGAGACTATCAAAGGAGAGGTAGAATTGGGTCTGTGCCATCAAAAAATGGATAAAATGTGAATTAAAAAAATCAATCAAGGGCAATTTTA